CATATATCTAAGAATGCGGAATAGTCCTCTAAAACCAGAAAGACTGTCATAAGAGGAATCTTGCTGTACAGGCTGTACAACTTCACCAGCTGCATGATTCTTCAGCAACTTTTGGGTGGGAAATACCTAGCATAATCACCTAGCTTTCTTTTTTCCCCCTTCAAAACACAGATTCAAGATTATTTCCCTACCCAAAAGCATCCATTTTCTTAATTTCACTTTTTTTAAAAAAAGCTATGAGGCTATTCACGTGACTCAAAATACTCCCTATCATTGCATGTTTTGTTAATCCAATTTTAAAAACAGAAACTTGTTTTAGACGGCTATCTCAAAATTTGCTGAAACACCTCTCTTATCCTCGCTTTTTGTAAACCATAAAAATGACCAGGAAAAGAGCTTATAGAGTAATCACTACAAAATGTAGCATTTATAGTTGGCTTCTATTTGCAGACAAGGGGAAGACTTCGAAATGATTTGTCGCTCTGATGTTAACAAGACAGGTGGGCTTGCTTTCAGGCCTAGTAAGTGAGGGGACTGACACATATTTGGTTGTTTCAAAATTTGCAACGAGGCCTTTCAGAGGGAGGCAAGGAGGAAAGGTTGCTTTGAGCAACAGGTTATAGAACAGTGGTTCTCAACCTTCCTAATGCCGCGACCCTTTAATACAGTTCCTCATGTTGTGGTGACCCCCAACCCTAAAGGCTCTCCAAACACGCACCGACGCCGCCCACTCACCCGCCGCGCCCGGGGCTCAGCGCGCCTCGCCTGTCCTCGCCTCACTTCCGAAGGTCGCCGGCCTGCCCGGCTCCAGTTGGCTGGGGAGGGGGGGCAGGAAGGCCGCTCCGCCCAGCCTGGTTGGAGAAGCATCCAGGCGGGGAGAGGGTGTGAGAGAGAGCCAAGAGGGCGACAGCACCGGCATAGCTTAGTTCAGCTTCCTCCGCAGAAAGGGCCGCGAAGCAGCACAGCCTCCCTTAGGAGATGCTCGACGGAAACGAATCTGGCACTGCAACGGCCCCCAGCTCAAAGCCGTGCAGAGACGGATAGAGGAGCGGGGTCTCGGTTCCTAAGACCATCGGAAATATGTGTTTTCCAATGTCTTAGGCGACCCCTGTGAAAGGGTCATTCGACCCCCAAAGGGGTCGCGACCCACAGGTTGAGAACCGCTGTTATAGAATATAGAGCATTCTGTTGACCATGTATCTGTCATTGCATTCAAACTGGTAGTTTGTTTTCTTTACAATGCCTTTTATGCCTTGAGTGATTCAAAACCTTGTTCTCCCAGCCCAGCTTATTTAAGCTCAAAGAATCTGATAGCGATTTTAATATGTAATAATCCCCCAGATATTAGATCTGTTTTGTTTTTTCACTCAGTGCACGTGAATGATTATTGGAAATAAGTTCTCAAGAGGATGTGGCTTCTAAGGAAAAATGCATTTGCCCGAGTTGTTAGATATTACTATTGTGTAGCAGGGTAGTGTGGTAGTTCAGAGTTGATACCGACTTGATAGCACATAATCAGTTAATCAGTGGGGTAATAATAACATAGGGAGCGTGATGGCTCAGCGGTTAAAGATGCTGAGCTTGTCAGCTGGAAAGCTGACAGCCTGGGTTTGAGATCCAAGTGCTGTGCGATGGGGTGAGCTCCCGTCCTTGCACCAGCTCCTGTCCACCTAGCAGTTCAAAAGCATGCAGATGCAAGTAGATTAATGGGTACCACTTTGATGGGAATGTAACAGCATTCTGTGTGCCTTAGCACAGTGGTGGCGAACCTATGGCACGCGTGCCAGAGGTGACACTCAGAGCCCTCTCTGTGGGCACGTGCGCTGCCACTGCCAGCAGCTTGCGCAGGTCCATTAGGCTGCCGCTGCCTGGAGCAGCAGCCCCACCCAGCATAAAGGAGGCAAAGTGGCCAGCTAGCAAGCTCGAGGTGGTAGAGCACGCCCACACCCAGCAAGCCAAAGGCCACCCTGAGCAGGGAAAGCCGGATCCCCATCGGCGCCATGGCCCCCCCAGTCCCAGCTAGGATTGTGTGCCTCCCCCCATCTATGCTGGACCTCCTGCCCACCACCCCACCCGCCAGAGACCCCCTGGATCTCCCCGAACCCTGCCCAGCCCCCACAGGCATCCCCCCATGAGCAACATCGAGGTGGCCATGCCCACCCCAGCCATCCCCACCAAGTCTGCCGTGACAATCACAGCCATGCCCACCCAGTGGACCACGCCCACCCAGTGGGCATGCCCCCCCTGAGGGCACCACATTGCTGATGCGGCCCTGCCACTTTGCGATAAGTGGGTTTTGGGTTGTGGTTTGGGCACTCGGTCTCTAAAAGGTTCGCCATTACTGCCTTAGCATATAGTCATGCTGGCTAAATGACCAGGGAAGCGTCTTTGGATAATGCTGGCTCCCTTGGCTAAGAAATGGAGGTAAGCAACGCCCTCTAGAGTCAGAAACGACTGGACAGGGGAAACATTTACTTTTTCTATACCACATATATTTTTACAATTTTTCTCATGTGCAATACAGACTGTTTTTTAGAGCAGGGATTATTAAAAAGAACTTGGAGACATTCCATTTTTTCCTCTGGTTCATACAGCTAAAAGCTTTTATGGCGTGACATACTTTACACAAAAATGAATTAGGAAATCTGTTTTGTGTTGCAGTGTCTGGTTTGTTCCACTAAGAGGCTCACATCCCCCATACATCCGTTCTAAATTTAGTTTTTCTTGTGAAGGAAAGCAGCAATGAAGTATATTACATTATACGTTACTATTATTGGGACGACATTGCTTAATATTTGCTGTTGCGTGACAATTGCGTTCACATAGGGTGTAAAGAAACTATTGTCCTGAATCCTTGAAAATATGCCAAGGCAGTGCGTTTCAAAGAACGATTTTTTAAAATGTACCTTGAAGAGTTAAAAGCAGTGGGTGAGTCCATGAGATACAAGTATCTTGCAGTGCCAGTTCTCTGCTTTTCTAGACTTCACACTTTTACTAAAAATAAACGTGAGGAGAAAAACCGTTGAACATGTACAGTTGTGCAAGGTTTACTTGTTTCTTATGTGCATAAACCACAGACAACTATAGAGTAATAGACAGAAATCTAAGCTGGTTCCCATGTTTAATTATTTGTATCCTATCCTTTTATCTCTTTTATTTGTTTTCTTTTCCTATTTTCCTATTTTTTTCTAAAGTGTCTAATATATAAATATATATATAGAGAGAGAGTGGACCAAAAAAATTTAAGTTGGTAATACATATTGTTAGGTTCATCAAGACACTAACCTCAGTTATTTTTCTGAATGCCAGATGAGCATTTGTTCAGTAACTGAGAACTATGTTTGTAAAATCTATAAGTGCACCTTCTGTGGGGTTAATATGTCCATTGCTACTTTGGGATAAAATCCTGAAAAGCCTTAGTCATACAAATAGGCCCTTGGTCTGCAATGTACAGATAACTAGACCCAAATATATTTATTTAATGTTTTTAACAAACCTGGGCAATTTATTTGAAGCAGAGCCACAAACAGTGAGGTGGAATTCCTGATGTCAAAATGCACGATGTTCAGGCCTGGCTGAGTTATTTTGGCCTCTGAGGTTCACAATTTCACAAAAAAACTTTTCCTGGGAGTGTAAATAGAGCAACAGTAATCAATAACCTTGGCTGCAGGTTTGTGAGACCCAAATCATTTGCCAAAATCTCTCTCTGAGGAACAGAACACTGTATGCAGCTCAGAAACTAGACTAGACTGGGATGGGATGGGATGGGATGGAATGGAATGGAATGGAATGGAATGGAATAGAATAGAATAGAATAGAATAGAATAGAATAGAATAGAATTCTTTATTGGCCAATGTGACTGGACATGCAAGGAATTTTTCTCTGGTGCTTAAGCTCACAGTGTTTATATAAACAGCAAGTAATAGGTCATAGATCATAAATCATAGTTACAATCATTAATCATAAGTTGCAAACAATTGATAAATCATAAGAAACCAATAGGAGAAGAGAGTAGGAAAGATGAGAAAAGATAAGAAATGAGACAATGCTCTGGGAGTTAAGTGTTCAGCGGAGTGATGGCACGGGAGGGCAGACAGTTGTTTTGGCATGCAATGCTCTTTAAGAGGGCATTTGCATTAAAATGTAGGCAGTTCTTGATATGGATTGACAGCATTGGGCTAGCAAGTCTAGATAGTTTGAAGGTGACTAAAATAATTCTGTAGGTATCCTCCCAGATGGGAGTCTGTCATGCCTTACTCGGAGATGCTAAGGGCTGAACTTGGGTCCAGCATGCAAGTCAAGTCACAACATCATAAACTATACTTTGGCTATTTCGTTACAGTACACCACTGTCAAATAAAAAAAATCAGTACAGGTAGTTCTCAATTTACAACAGTTCACTTAGTGACCGTTCAAACTTACAATGGCACTGAAAAAGGTTTTTCGCACTTATGACCATTGCAGCAACTCCATAGTCACATGATTTATATTTAGATGCCTGACACCTGACTCACATTTATGATGGGTGCAGTGTCCTGGTATCATGTGATCATCTTTTGCAATCTTCTGACAAGCAAAGGCAATGGGGAAATCAGATTCACTTAACAACCTGTTACTAATGTAACAACTGCACTTAACAAAGATGGCAAAAAAGTTGTAAAATAGGGCAAAACATACTTAACAAATTTCTTACTTAATAACATAAATTTTGGGCTCAATTGTCGTAAGTCGAGGACTACCTGTATTGGATAGTAGAGCAGTGGACTGAACCAAAATGTCAAGAAAGGACACATCACTAATAGGGATGTTTCTATTCTATAGTTAGAGATGGGCCACGGTCTTGATTCTGGTTAGTGATGGATGAAGATGTCTCTTTGTCCTGATTTATGTATGATTACATTCAGTATATATTGGAGGGAAGCGATGTAACACAATGGAAAATACTGAACTATTTTTCAGATCAACTTTAGATTTAGTTTATGCTTGGTTTGCCCTGCAGGTCTTCATTGCTGTGAACTGCCTTAGTACAGATTTCTCCTCGCAGAAAGGTGTCAAAGGCCTCCCTCTGAATCTTCAGATTGACACCTACAGCTACAACAACAGAAGCAACAAACCCATCCACAGAGCTTACTGCCAGATTAAAGTCTTCTGTGACAAGGTAAAGCTGCCCAAGTCCTTCTTGAATCTTTTGCTTCCGCCAAACATTTAATCTAGCCACTCAGGGGTAGCAAGACATGCAAAGAAGAAGAAAAATCCAGCAATTTGGATACAAAGAGGATCGGCTATCTTTTGATTCATTGGGGTTGGTTAAAGAGAGGTTTATTCCTTGGTCATAAGGAGATGATCAGTGAAAAGATGCCAAGAGATGAGCATCAAACTAACACAGTGTACTATGTATATACACTACATGGGGTCCTCAATGTACAACCATTCATTTAGTGACCATTCAAAGTTACAACGGCACTGAAAAAAGTGACATATGAACATTTTTCACACTTACAACCATGGCAGCATCTCCATTGTCATGTGATCAAAACTCAGACATTTGGCAACTGACTCGTATTTATGACAGTTGCAGTGTCCCAGGATCATATGATCAGCTTCTGACAAGCAAAGTGAATGGGGAAGCCAGATTCACTTAACAACCATGTTACTAACTTAACAACTGTAGTGATTCACTTAACAACTTTGGCAAGAAAGGTCGTAAAACTGGGCAAAATTCACTTAACTGTCTCACTTAGCAACATACATTTTGGGCTCAATTGTGGTTGTAAGTTGAGAACTACTTGTATGTATGTAGGTAGATAGGTATGATGTATTGTATATGTTTGCTCCACAGAGCACCCCTTGAGAGAGTTGAAATGCAAACAGGTTTTTTTTCAGCCCTTCAGTTCCCGATTTGATTAACTGCATTCTACCTTTCATACAGTTAGTAGCCAAAGGCAGATTCCATCAGTTCTCCCCCTCCCAGCCAAATTTTTTCTCCTGCTTTGTTTATTATTTTGCACAGTGAAGAATCCTGGAGAACTAAAAGTTCTGCACACTATTTTATGACCTTGAATTAGTCCAAAATTACTATATATTCCTAACATTGTTTTTGGAATCTTTCTTATAGTCGTGATGATTCTTTTCCTACTAGTATTCCTACTAATACAGTGCACTTTCTGTTTCCAGTAGAAAAATACATAAACTGGACTTCCATTCTTTATACACACAGGATATTTAATAAATTTGAGTAACAGCCAACATGGATTTTGCTACTCCCTCTTAGATTCCACCTGTTAAATTTCATTTTATAATTGATAGCATTTGGATTGTATTTTTATTTATTTCACAAATCCTGCCTGGAAGATTTGTGCCCTTAAAATTGTGGCAATTTTAGTCCTGCTGATCTTTATTAAATAAACTGATTACATGACACAATTCTTGATCCAGGGAAACTCTAAACCCTGGTTATTTTCAGCTTTTAAGAACATAACACCGTACTTCATCTAGTCTGCCAACTTTGGCCTACTTGGTTTTTTTCCCAGTGACTTTTGGCATTTCCACAACATTTGTTATCAAGTGGTCACTCTGTCCTGTAAGTTCTGTCTCCATCAACAAAAAAAGTAATGCCAAATTTAAGTGAGACAGGGGGGAGTAAGGCTTATCTGTTTAATCTGTGTTTAAAACTGCTTTAATCAAGATTGCTTTGAAAGAGACAAGAGCAGGCTAAAAGGAATTTGTAAAGCTCAGTTCAGATTTCAGTTTCTTTTGATCAGCTGGCGTGATACAACCTGCCATTTCCTCAGGGGTTTCAAGGAATATGGCTGGATTTTTTGCATGCTGTAGTCAATAATAAAGCTCAATCTTTAATTTATTTTTTTCATTTTAATGCAATGTTTATTATAGTATTTAATGTTACTATATACTTTTATGTTTTTAATTCAGCTGTCTAAGCCCTGAAAACTTGTTTATAGACCAAGTTGGACATGTAATACTTCTATAGCCAGTTTAGACTAGTGGTTAAAGCANCCCTTGGGCTGGGCCAGCTGGTGGTCGGCCTGCTCCGTCTCTGCCGCTTGCCAGCTACGCCTCGGCCGGTGCAGGGGGCGGAACCACGCATGCGCGGCGCTCCCGGGCAGGGAAAGTCCTCGACTTACGACCGGTTGGGTAGTCCTCGACTTACGACCGGTTTAGTCCTCGACTTACGACCGGTTTAGTCCTCGACTTATGACCGGTTGGGGTCGCGGCATTAAAAAGGTTGAGAACCACTGGGTTAAAGCATCACGTAGAAAGTGGGAGATTGTGAGTTCTAGTCTCGTATTAGCCATTAAAGCCAGCTAGGTGACCTTGTGCAAGTCACTCTGTTTCAGCCCAATTCATCTCACAGGGTTGGTTCTGATGGGGAAAATAGGAGAAGTGCTGGATATGTTTGCCATCTTGAGTTATTTCTAAAAATAAAAAAGGCAGGATGGTAAATAAATAAACAGTAATGGTAGTGGCTAGGCACTTTTAAAGATTTGGGTTTTTTTTAAAAAAAACAATCATTTAACCTATAGCTATAGATCAATTGCTTGTGTTCCCTAGAGAAACAACCATGTTTTTCAAGACTGCATTTTGTCCCAGCAGTTTCTGATATTGAAGCCAAGGTTAACTCGTTTCCTTGCTGGCATCTCTGAGGTGCAATCAAATAGTCCCATCTCACTACCAGCTATGTTTTTCTGTCCAGTCTCCTGATGTTGCTTTCATCTCATACCCAGCACATAGCTGAGATAAATTTAAGTTGTCCTTAGATGTTCCACATGATTTTCTTTCCCCTTGTTTTTGTTGTTGATACTTTCTGACCCACTTCAGTGCCCTGTTGTTAGTGGCATGGCTAATGGCCTTTTAGGGGGTAGGATTCAGTACAGATCCTGTTGGCCACTTCAGCCCGGTGGGGCATTACCTCTTCCTTGCTGAGATAAGAAACATTTTGCTGTTCATAAAATTGGCACACAAATTACACTGCCTGGAAGTTGTGTGCAATCTTTTAAAACAGGTTCAAATGTAGTTTACAAGTAAACGGTGGTGTTCACCACTACTTCAAAGAATATATTTTGTTGGGACATTTGTTCATGGCCTTATAAAATATCTTAATGGTCTGTCAGTAGGCTTACAGAGTAGGCCCTGATTTCCTAGGTCCCAATTTTCTTGGCCCTGATGCCCAAATGGTATGTGTGGTACTTAAGCTTCACCCATGATTATACAAGTTTGCCTTAAAAGTTATTGCAGCTTGACTAGCTTGTGTAGTGTCTGACTTCAGAAAGACTAGGGAAGCTGAACTCCAAAGGTGGATTTTAAAAAGCAACAAGAAATGGACATTATCCTTCCTTCCTTCCTTCCTTCCTTCCTTCCTTCCTTCCTTCCTTCCTTCCTTCCTTCCTTCCTTCCTTCCTTCCTTCCTTCCTTCCTTCCTTCCTTCCTTCCTTCCATAGGGAGCAGAAAGGAAAATCCGGGATGAAGAACGGAAACAGAGTAAAAGAAAAGGCAAATGCAGTGACCCCAATTCTCAGCTGAATGCCTGTAAGTAGAAAATATAGAGTGCCCTCTAATGGAGTGGAAATTGTCAAATAAACCTTATTTACTGTGTAAACCAGATACGAACAAACCTTTTTATTTTTTATTTTGTTTTTTGTTGTTGAGAAAAAGAAAGTTTCCTACATTGACTAGGGATAATTAAGTCACTGGTTCCATTGGTTCAGTTAAGAGGTAAAAATATTCCATTTGAAAAGGAATGATGTAAACAGTTGGATCTTTTTGGAGTAAGGCAGGCAGTTCTATCTAACATATACACAGGTCTATACCTATAGCTATACTTATATTTATGTTTAAAACTGTAACTAGGGGTTCAGCAGTTAAAGATTCTGAGCTTATCAGCTAGTTAAAAAGGCTGAACTTGTTAGCTGGAAAGCTGACAGCCCGGGTTTAAGACCCAAGTACCATGCCATGGGGGAGCTCCCATTACTTGCCCCAGGTCCTGCCCACCTAACAGTTGCAAAGCATGCAAATGCATGTAGATGAATAAGTATCACTTTGGTGGGAAGGTAACAGCGTTCCGTGCACATTCGGCATATAGTCATGCAGGCCACATGACCACAGAAAACCTTTTTTCGATGCTGGCTCCCTCGGATAAGAAACCGAGATGAGCACTGCTCCCTAGAGTCAAACATGACTGGAAAGGTTTACCTTTATCACCAGTGCTTTTTTTGTACAGCCCGCCTTGCCTACCCTACAAGGTTCCATCCCAAAAAGGTGCCGGAACTCCGTTCTGGGCATTCTATGTAAAAAAAAAAAGCCCTGTTTATCACTATACCTTTATCTGTATCTGGCAGAAAATTTATTGGTTTGCCAAATTTTACAGGATTTCAATGTTCTTGCATGAAATTTCAGGGAGGAATATCAAAAATCAGATGGGATTTTGGTTTTTAAATATATAACATCTTATTGTAAAATATAGGAAATGTATGAGATTTGTCTTGCCATTTAAGATATTTTTTACCCCATGTCTGTGATCATATTGAATTGTTTATTAAAATACTAAAGGCAGGATATAAACAGACAAATTTTAAACAAATAACAGCCTTGCTTCATACGAAAAGCATAATATTAAACTTTTGCATCGTTAAGAAATGGATTCAGAGCCAAACTGTAAGAGTTCCATGGGATAAAATAAATTAATTTCTGTCACTGAACTCGTAAGCTGTACTTTAGTTGAAAGCTTCTTCTCACAGCAACCACTCAGAATTATTTTTGCAAATTGACAGATGCACACAACATGTACTAAACATATGGATGGGAAGAGGAGCAATAATTATTTCTTTTATTTCTCAGTTGTCTGGAGTGGTTGGGAAGAGAATTTTGATGCTTCGGAATCTGGGGTACCTTTGGGGTTGGACACTGATTGGGTAATGCTTTTCTTGCCCTTTCCTATTGGTCAGCTGAAGGCGACTACTTAATGGCCCAGAATGTTCCCTCTTTGCTTGCAGGGTTTTATGGTAAGGAGAAGGAAAGATGAGTACAGCTTTCAAAGAATTGAGAAATACAAAAAGTGGCACGTGGAAGAGCATTCTGTATCAGTGGTGGAGAACGTCTTAGCTCCAACCGCAATTTATATTGCTAAATGCAGCTTTGTAAGAAGTTTAAAACGGAATAGGCTTCACAATTCAGTGTTTAAAAAAGAAGACATTCTTAATTTTAAGAGTCTCTTATTTCTTCTCTTCCCTACCAGTTTCTGATGTCAAAGTACCCATGCTTCCCTCCCATAAGCGAACAGATATCACCATCTTCAAGCCATTTATGGATCTTGATACTCAGCCAGTTCTCTTCATACCTGATGTTCATTATTCAAATATTCAGCGTGGAGCTCATGTACGTTTTCTATCTTGCTAATTTTGTCAAAGGAGGACAGCAATTTAAAAAAAGGGGGATGGGTGAGAATGCTGATCCTTGTTATCTAATTGCGTGCAATTAATTGGTTGCCCTTTTGGCAGTTTGAGGGACAGGCAATAATTCCTTGGCCTTTTTAAACATTGGATGGTGATACGGTATCCCTGGAGACAGACAGCTTAGCATTACCTTTGCAGAGAGGATGTTTGGAGAATTAAGCAAAAGCGATATTTTAATGGAGATTATGCTGACCACATAATCTAGAAAGCTTTAGGAATCACAAAAAGAGGCTGGACGTGGAAGTGGCTTGCAAACCACTCACTTAAGAGATATCTTTGTATTTTTCTTTTGTGGAAACCAAAGATTGATCCTGAAGGCAGCATTAATAAGGTTAACTCCGTTTTGATGCATTCTAACCATGCAGAGGGGTTTTTTTTTGGAAAATATTCCGTCTATATTGTCCTTATTTATATCGCAGTGTCAAATACTGTACAGATGCACTAATTTAATTAATTAAATCATTTTATTTATTGCAGCTAAAGAAATAATGCACTCTCTCATGCCAGAGCATCTCAATGAGACTTTAATTCAAAGATGTTAAACTAGAGCAAATTTGACACGAAAATAGAATTATAAACAGCAATAAACAGCCTCTATCTTTAAAAAACCTCACACAACTCTCAAAGCTGCAGTCCAGAAGATTAAAATAAACTCCCTTTGAAACAATTTCTATTTGTCATGAGTTAGCTGGAAATGAAAGAATACTTTGTATTGTATAGGGAATTAATCTTGGTTACCATCACATAAAAACTGAGCTCCAAGTGGAAAAATAGTAAGACTACCATAAGAAAGGTAGGAGCAAAAAAAAAAAAAAAGAGCAGAAGCCAAGAACACTTGGGAAACTGAGCAAATGCTTTGACAGGAATAGAGGTTTTAGACTTTATTCAAGTTGGTCTATTGCATTTATTTATTTAATGTAGTGGGATACCATTTAACAGGTCCACAGAATAAAACATTGCGAAGGACAACAGTATACCAGCATGCCTTATGATGATGCTTATACTACTGATAACTGGTCAACATGGTTCTAAAATATTTAAAATAGCTTGTTTTTTCCTTTCCCTTGTAGAGTTTTACTGTTACATCTGATGAAATGGAGGGAGAAGGGTAAGTTTTGTTAGTATTTTTCTCACTCATGTTCCAATCATATTTACAGAATGCTCTAGCTATTTTTGTTCTGATTAAGTGGCTTTCTAACTGGGCCAGAATATGCAGTATGATATAGCATAGCCTTCTCCATCTGGTGCTGTCTAGAAATATTGAACTATATGTAGTTCCCGTTGTCTTTTTTATTATATCAGACCTGTTGTCACTGTACTGTAGCTGTACTGGTCAGAGATCGTAAGAATTGTTCTTTTACCTGAACAGTTTCTCATTGGGCTAGTAAATTATTTTTCATCATACAGGTAGTGCTTGAGATGTTTTTAAAAAACTCTTGAAGCTAGATTCATATTGATCATATTTATTTTATTCAAAAATTCAAAAGTTTTTTCTCTCATTGCTTAAATTGCAATAGAATAAGGGATAAATTCTAATTTACCAATTAAGAAAAGGCCATGGAATTTCTTATGCCAAGAGATACACAGAAGTCATAAGCCTAACCTAAAACTCCAGTCCTTGTTATATGGCCCAATGGTACCAAGTCATTCCAATTTACAGAATAACCAGACAAGATACTGAACTTGTGTATTAATGAGAAAATTCAATCTATGTAAAAAACAACATATAATCTGTTTATAGTCAATTCTAATATTGCGTTGGCCTACTTTAATTCCCATAACACCTTAATAATTCATGTAAGAGTTGCTAATGCTAAATCAAAAGGAAAGAAGAAAAGTGGCAGGTATTATGACATAAATTTAATAAATTTAACATAAGAAAGAAACAAAGAGAATACATCATTAATAATCTATAATTTAAGGACTAACCAAAATTCATTTGGTGACCTTTAAAGTTACAACAGCACTGAAGAGTGACTTATGACTCTTTTTCACACTTATGACCATTGCAGCCTCTCCATGGTCATGTGATCAAACTTCTGCCACTTAGTAACTAACACACATTTTTATGACGGCTGCAGTGTCCCTTGGTCATGTGATCACCTTTTGTGACCTCCTGACAAGCAAAGTCAATGGGGAAGCCAGATTCACTTAACAACTGTGTTACTACCTTAACAACTGCAGTGATTCCCTTAACAACTGTGGCAAGAAAGGTTGTGAAATGGGGCAAAGTTCACTTAACAACAAAGTTTCGCTTAGCAACAGAAATTTTGAGCTCAATTGTGGTCAAGGACAACCTATAGTAAGTCAAGGATTACCTGTAGTAAGAAGAAGAAAAAAAATCTATTCTCCATACTTGTTTTTAAATCTTTCACCAACTATGTAGTGTGGCATCAGAGAAGCCAACAAACATTTCAGTTTGGGAAAAGTAATCATTCTTCATGCATCCTTTACACCATTCTCAGACTGACTCTACTTCTGTGATCTTGTCTCTTTGTTACCAGTGGGTAGTTCAGCCAGTTTATTACCATCTCATCTGCAATGCAGAAGAATTCAGTCAGAAGACAGTTTTCAAATATGGATGAATCACTTTGACTTCCGCCTTGCACTTGTTAGTTTATTCTATAGCAATAAACAATGACGCCTTCGTGTCTGTATTGACATGGAATTATGCCATGCAGAATAAAGTTTGCAAATACAGCACCTGATTTATGTGTACATCAATTTTCTGTTCAGTGCAACCTTGTGAACAGTTTAATGCTTGGACTGCAGCATGGGGGAAAGTCAGTGGCTCAGCTTGTTTTGCATGAGGTAGTTTCAGGTTAATTTGCCAACGTGTCTAGTGAATGGATTTCCAGTTAATAGTTGTTGAGGAACAGACTGTTCTGGCCAGTGTTCTCTAATTGGATAAACTGACCACAAATCTAAACTCCATATAAGGAAAGTAAGTATTGAGATGAGCATATGAGAAGATGTATTTTCCTTTTCTGCAATGCCAACATTAGGTGGCTGTTTTTATTTACTGCAGTTATACTGTATCCTGCCTTTTCTTTGAATGCCCAAGGATGAGCTAAGAGATAGTGAGTGGCTTAAAGTCATCCAGTGAGTTTGCATGGCCGATGTTGGATTGTAACCTGGTTCTCCCCATTCTAGTTCTTAATTATGAAATCATACTGACATAATGTGATAGTCTAATTTCAGGACCCTTACAATAAAATGAAGGCCCTTCTAGCGGTTAACAGAAGTGTGTTAAACATATTGTCTCTTGATTATATTGGCTATTAGCATCTTAACTAGATGCTTAACTGAAATGGGATAACTAGAGGATCTTGGAATTTTATATTCTCAGCTCATTTCTCTTCAATGCCTTGAAATGTTTAGGGACAATCCTCTGCCTGGTGATTGCAGTAATGCTGAAATGTTGCTTGGATTGGTTAATGGATTGACTGATTTTCTTTCAGGTCTACCATGAAGAGGGGGGCTTACATAAATGAAGATGAATTTGCTGCTAGTCCAATTAAGATATCCCGAATAGAAGAACCAAAAAGAGGTAATCCATTCCTCAAGGGATTTTGGTTGTTATTAAATTTGCTTTATATTTCATCTTTCTGCTTTAATAAGCATTCAAGACAGCTTACAATAGGAAAACCAAATACAAAACAGAACAATAGAATTGAGACAAAATCAGTATAATCATTCAGTTTGTCAAAAGAATTGTATTTTTGGCATTTTTCTAATTACTGGAAGAGTGGGGGCTAAATATATCTCCTACCCATAGTTGGGGATCAGAGGAGTCCTTATCTTATGTACTAGATAGCTGAGCTTCTGGCAGTGCGGTCTTCTTTTAATACTGTAAGCCAGCTGGAAACAGGTGAGCAGCTATATAAATTTGTTTAATAAATAAATCTTCAAAAGGGTCTTTCCTACTAAATAATTAAGCCAGGTTCTCTAGTGGGACAAGTGGTCCCTCAGACAGGCCCAAAGATATTCAGAACTGTATTATAATGCAGGAGTCCCCAACCCCCGGTCCGTGGACCAGCACCGGGCCACGACATGCCAGAAACCAGGCTGCGCAAACAAGCAAAGCCCCATTCACGGGATGCAGACAGTACATGAAACCACACCCCCTTCGGTCCACAGAAAAACTTCTCTCTGTGGAACTGGTCCCTGGTGCTCAAAAGGTTGGGGACCTCTGTTATAATGGACAATATCAGGATCTTAAATAGTCCTGGGTTGGCAATTAGCAGGCAATCTCAGTGAGGATCATTCAGTACAAATCTTTTGTACAGTAATGTCTAAGCAATCTCAGCCTGGACATGGAAGTCCTCCAAGAAAAAAAGTCTGGGGCTGTCCAGTGCTAAGCCAAAGATCACCCCAAATTATTCAGGAGGAGAGACTTTTGTGGCTGTTATGGCTGTTATTGTCTCTACGCTGTCTCAGCCACTCAAACAGAGCAACAAGCACTTAGAATTGGAAGAGTGTTGGATGGAGCTTTGGATCGGTAAGAGAGAAGTCCTGTTGATTATAACTTATGCTTGCCACCCATAGCCTGCTGCATCACAAATTAGGCGATTGCTTGAAGAGCTCTCAGACAGGCCTCTACCACTTGCCAGGTCCGTGCTTTCATTCAAGATTGAACCCTAGATAATAGATGTTATACTAGCAACTTATCTGCCAGTAAAAAACAGGTAGGTCAGAGGGCCTACCTTCATTGCTTTCTTGATTGTCTTGGTTAGACTGCAACTTGAAAGGAAGGCCTCTTTCCCCTGCAATGGCCAAGTAGCCGTTTCCTACCATTTTGCCTCGTCAGTTATATATAAAAATATTTTCTTCCCAGTCATGTTCCATTCCTCATTTCCCCTCATCTTCTTGACACATCTCCCAACCCCAAACCAGTTGGTTAATAAATCATCAAGATAGACCAAACTTTCCCTTGTTAGAATTTTGCTTATGCATGACATTGAATTGGTTGGTCCAGTTTGGAATTATACAGCTTCTGCAAGAGGCATGGGGCAAGCTAACTATAGCCACTGGGGCCAAGTCCTATCTCTGTGATGTGCTAATCAGAGGGCCTCCAGCCTGCAGGTTTTAAACAAGGATTTCATGGTATTAAAAATAAAAGTATCATCGAGAAATTGGTGCTACAAGAGGTATTTTGCCTTAGTATTATGGGAAAAACTCTTCTTCACTGCATACAAGCTAGTATGCTGTAATAAATACATTGGATTAAGAGTCCAGAGAACCGGGTCAAGTGCACCTCAGTTACAGAAGGTCACTGACTAATTTTGTCCGAATCTCTTTCAGTCCTACTCTATCTCATAAGTTTAATGTAGGAAAAAAAATAGGAGGAAGATGAGTATATTCTCAACCTAGAATTCCCAAATAGTTGTAGAATATACAGCTAATAAATAAATACACTCAGATTGCCTAGAACAGGGGTAGGCAACCTTGGCTCTTTTATGACTCGTGGACGTCAACTCCCAGAATTCCTGAGCCAGCCATGCTGGCTCAGGAATTCTGGGAGTTGACGTCCACGAGTCATAAAAGAGCCAAGGTTGCTTATCCCTGGCCTAGAAACATCCCAAAGTTGCTCTTTTTTCCTTCTCCTTTCCTTTCCTGATACGGAATGAATATATGGATACAAGATACCTGTGGAGTGGCCTTACTTAAAATTAACCTCTTATGTATAAGCAATCATTTGATTAACTAGCCAGGAAGAAGATGAGAAAGAATTGAGCTGGAGTTCCTGTAATGTTTTACAGAAGAGCCCGTAGACCTAGGAGCTCATGAGAAATAAGACCTTGTCTAGGTAGTGTGTACTTGGGAGTCAAGTCCGAAGTCCAAAAGCAGCTAAGTCAAGAAGAATGTCACGTTTTCTCCATGTGACTTTTCAACAAGGCAAGCACTGTCAGTTGGCTTGTTTTTCTATTTTGGTGCAAGTCACAAAATGAGTCACTAGTTTTCGTTGAGAATTCAAGAACCTTATCTGTGCATTCTTTCAGACCTCCCTTCTTAAACTCCTTTGCTTCAAGGATTTTTTTTCTGACTCACTTTGGAGTTTTGAACTCGCCCTTGTTGATTGACATCGTGTTAATATAACAGTAGCACACCTATGATTTAGATTATGCTATCATACAGAGCAAGGAGGACTTTGATATCAGTTGTTCGGGAGAAGTAAATTGAGGACAAATCAATATATTATGTTGAACTTCCTGGCTTTAAGTGAGCTTAGTCTCATCAGTTTTTTCCAGAACAAGATACAATAATTGTAAGGAAAGGAAAGCCTGATAACGTTCTAGTTTATTTGAGTATCTACGAACTATAGGAGGGGGAAAATCCTCAGTTTTTCCTGGAAAGGCTAGGAAAGCTTTTTTTTATATCTGGCAAACAATGCCTGTCGGGTTAGACAATATTACACTATTTCAGTGGTGGCGAACCTTTGGCACGCGTGCCAGAGGCGGCACTCAGAGCCCTCTCTGTGGGCACACGCGTCATGCCCCGGAGATGGCAACTGTCCCTCTGCAACCAGCTGCCTGCTAACTCACTGAGGTCCCACGTGGTTGGAGGCATCCCAGCACGGCTGGTTTGCCTCCCCCCCTGTCCCGTCCCTCCTGGCCTCGTATGCTCTCCTTTTCCCGGGCAAGACCCACTGCATCGCCTCCTCAGCTGTCGGCCGGCCATCCAACTCAGAGGCGGCTTCTTTGAACTGCTGGCGGCGGGCTGCGGAGCCCCAGAGTGCACCGGTCGGGGGCTGGCAGGCTGTGGCTGCTGACGGACATCATCGGCCCCCATGCCCTTGCTGGCCTCTCTGTGTGGGGGCCGATGGTGTCAAGCAGCAGCCGCCCGGGCCCTTGCCTTGCCCCATGGAAATGGCACCCCTGCCCTGCCTTGCATCACCCCGTAGAACGAGCCTCCTGCCTACTGCCTCACCTGCCAGAGACCCCCTGGATCTCCCCCAACCCTGCCCACCCCCCACAGGCGTCCCTCCCCACGAGCAACATTGAGGTGACCACGCCCACCTTGACCACACCCACCCAATCTGCCATGACCACCACAGCCATGCCCACCCAGTGGGCCACACCCACCTGGCACCTGGCGATAAATAAGTGGGCTTTGGGTTGCAGTTTGGGCACTCAATCTCTAAAAGGTTCGCCATCACTGCACTATTCTGTCAGTATTTTTCAATCTTGTTGACTTTAAGATGTATGGACTTCAACTCCCAGAATTCCCTAGCTAGCATCCCATCTGAGAAATTCTGTGGAGTTAGGAGTTAAGTCCACACATCTGGAAGTTGCCAAGGTTGAAAAACACTGGACTAGATGGGCCAATGTTTTAATTCAGCATAAAGCAGATTCTTGTACACTTCGCTACATGTTAATTAACTGGTGTGTTTCTTCAAAATACAAATTGAACTACAGCAGCATAATTGTAGAGTCTCTTCTACGGTATGTTGAACCTCTTTAGGCAGTCTGCTTGCACATGATTCTTGTCCTAATGGAGCCAGGGTACGGATGCTGCCACTCTCCCCCCAAAACATGGTTATATTCTGTAGAGACTCCTCCCCCTCTGTTGCTGAGTTGCAAGTCTAACTTGACAGAAGGGGGGGGGAAATGTAAGCACATGATAATTGTGTTTAACTGGATTAATTTAGTGAAACTTCTGATTGTCAGAAGGTTCAACTCCATGCTAGATTACTGCAAGGCATCACTTTTTCTTACAGGGACTATTTTCTTTTGAAAGTAAGTAGAAGGTTAAAGGTTTTTTTCCCTAACTTAAAACATATTTACATTTACATTATTAGTTTAAGATCAGTAATATATTTTAATCTCTACAGCTTATTCCGTGACAACACAAAGTCCTTGTTAATTGTCTAGACAATGTTAAAAGGCATGTAATATATTAATGATGGAAGGATGCATAGCAATAAGTTGGAAGCACTGAGCTCTTCCTTCACAATCTTTTATGTATTTTTAGTTTATTTATTTTTTTAAAAACGGACTTAAATATAGCAGTGGCTTGGCTTCTAAATCCCACCCTCCTTTGCACAATCAATTCCCTCTAGTATATTTGAGGAACCATTGAACAAACTGAAGAAAAGAAAAGAAAATCAAGTACCAGAGTGTTAATTGGCTCATTGTTCAGAACCAATTTGGAAACCTGACACCGTAGTTTTCCAAACGTTCTGCCTGCTGCCAGCGGCGGTGGAGGTTAATTTACAGGGGACTAGAGGCCAGACTATGCTATACTGTACTATGGTGACATAATTGGAGTGTGTTTAACTAAGCATTGGGAAAGGGTGTGTATACACTGTATTCTGCCTTGCTTTGTCAAAGCAAAATAAGGCCGATGCAATATAAAATGTACTATTTGTAGGTCACCCCACGATAAACTAATTTTTCACATTTTGTCACCTGCTTTTGGCAAAGAGAGAAAATAGTGTTTATAATTTATTTTATTTATTTTTGCTTTTTTTCACCTTTCTTTTAGTGTTGTTGTATGTCCGGAAAGAATCGGAAGAAGTATTTGATGCACTTATGCTTAAAGTTCCATCTCTGAAAGGTCTTATGGAAGCTGTAAGTTGTAAGGATTTTTATTATCATACTTGAAGAAAAAAAGGGAGAAACCTACATATCTTCTTCTTTGTACTTAATCTAAATAGCTACTGTATTCTGTCTAAGTGTAGGATTTCAAGGGCTTGAATTCTTACAAAAAATTTGGACTTCCATTCTTATTGTGTGTTAGCATAGAGCAGGGGTCCCCAACCCCCGGTCCATGGACTGGTATCAGGGTGCGGCATGCCAGCAAGCAGTCTGCACAAACAAGTACAGTCCCATCCGTGGGATGCAGGCAACACACAAAACCACACACTCTCCAGTCTGCGGAAAAATCTTTCTCCATGGACCCGGTCCCTGCTGCCCAAAAGGTTGGGGACCTCTGGCATTGAACGTGCACCTTCTAGTGGGATTCAAGCAACAGTATTATTTCTAGCTGGGCTATCCTATCTTGCATAGAAGCGTATAACATGCTTGGGATAACGTTGGAACCTGACCACTAGTGTCTTTATGGATGGCCAGGAATACAGCGCCTCTATCTTCCTAAAAAGAATTATGTGAAAACCTTAATTGACCATAACCATAATGGAAGACAGAAGTCAATATTTATAGGACTGCCTGGTGCTAATCATGGCATATGGAAAATATGGGTTTGTGCTTCGACTCACACTATTTAATGGAAGTATAACAATTGTAATGTTATACAGTATAACAATATAACATTGGTTGGGTATGCAAGCAGAAACATAAGAGTTGAATAAAGTGAAATGGTGTACTTAAGAATTATATCATAATGAATGAATGTTAAATGAATGTAGATTGAAAACAAAAAAATGAGTGATTGATACCGAAACATTTCAGAACCATGCCTGTTTCATGATTAGTTTGTGTTTATAAGGGTTTTCAACTGCTATTCTTACATTACTTTGTCGCTTTAATTTTGGTAGTTTTTATTGTTTTCACTCTCTTTTAATTTTTAGCTGCCCAGAGTTATGTACATGAGATAGGCAGCCTATGAATTATTAAATAAAAAATAACTGATGTTTGAACATTTAGAGAGAGTGTGAGAGATTCGATATGCAAATCAAATAAAGAACGGAAGAATGGAAAGGCTGAGAAACGACTGAATGGGGATGAGGAGAAAAAGAGGGAAATAAGAAATTTAAAATTCAAAAGGTGGTTAATGTGAACATGCTGTAGTAGATGCAAGGGTAGTTTGCAAGGATAGAAAGATATGGACAAGTACAGTAAAGGGTATTAACTATATTTTGTTATATTTCATTTTCTTTTTCTCACCTCATACCTTATTTTCATTGGTTTACTATTTTTTTCTCTCTGCTCTGTATGTGGCCTAAAATTGCTTATCCCAAAAGGAAATAGAATGATGGGTATATATTTACAGTACTTAATTTTAATTTTGCTGGGCATGTATTTTTATTGGTAGGTAATGTTATTTATTCACTTGTTAAGCCAAATGCACATTTTGGAGGAAATACAAAGACTACAGAATAATTTTAGATTTTTCTAATGGATGTATAAATCAGACAGGCTAAACCAATTTTTTCTAGCACTCTATCTATGCTAACATAGTTTGTGAAGAAGACACATATGCAGGGATTAGAAGGAACAAGACAAAGTATTGGTAATACTTTTAATCCACACAGCCCTCTGAGAGCAGGGCAGGGCACCAATGTAATTTTTAGAAGACCTACAGATGGTATTCAGTCACACTGATCATCCAATAAGTGATTTTTATCTGGAGAAAATTTAGTTGTCTGAATTTTTCCTTTCCTTAGAAAATGAATTCTGTTTGGCAAGCAACTTCTGTAACTGCAAGTTTCAGAAATGTAACTTTTTCCACCCCAAATTTAGCATGCATTATCAAGAAATGTATAATGTAAATTGAATTATATGTTCATCACAGTTTCATCACAGTTTCATTATGTTTTTAAAGTATACATTTTATTTCTCTTTCTTTTATCTCTATCCCATGCTGCAAAACTGGATGAAGACATTTTTTGCATATGCTTCTTCATGGTCATAGGTATATGTAAATTCTACTATAAAAAAGACAGAATCATGAAAAACTGAAAATTAAAAAAAACAAAAATAGTGGCTAAGTTGTTAACATGGTAGATATATAAGAAAAGCTTTATTTGGGCTACTTTCACTGGACTGGTACATATTTACCGGTGCTTGGTATTCAGTCTTACTAAGTTTAACAAGACTGATTTCTAGAATGTTGGTTTTAGAGTTGAATCCGACTCTCTCTGATCTGACCCTGTTCCCAAGCCCTATACTTTCTCTGAAATTGATACAGAACCTCTGTGGATAGTATTTAGCTGCCATAAGTCTGTCTATAAAATAACAGATAGTCACTTTGGATGTGTCTGGGGTGGAGATGAAGATGGAAAGCCATCCTGGAGAATAACTGTATTAGCTCTATGTATCTGCTGCTTTTATATTTGTCAATATATTGTGTGATCATTCTTTGTGCAAACTAGGGATTAGTCATAAGGATTTGCTTGATATTACCCACTGGCTTTAACAAAAATGCTCGTAAAGTTTTTCAGATGCAATTAGCACAACATCAGAACGGCATTTTGCACTTATTTTCTCAGTTCTCATAGTAATCCAGGACCTCTAATGGGGTGGGGGTGGGGGAAACAGGACACTGAGATGGGTTCTCCGTGGAAGCCAATCAGTACTCACCTCCATTCATCTCACTTTATGAGGGCTCTATGGATCAGAAAGGGTACAGGTAGTCTTTGACTTACGACCACAATTGAATCCAAAATTTATGTGGCTAAGTGAAATATTTGTCAAGTTGCCTCATTTTTTGACCTTTCTTGCCACAGTTATTAACTGAATCACTGCAGTTATTAAGTTAGTAACAGTTGTTAAGTGAATCTGGCTTCCCCATTGACTTAGCTTGTCAGAAGGTGATAACAGGACCCTGAGACACTGAAGCCATCATAAATATGAGTCAGTTGCCAAGCATCTGAATTTTGATCACATGACCATGGGGATGCTCCAATGATCATAAGTGTGAAAAACGGTCATAAGTCACTTTTTTAGTGGTGTTGTAACTTCGAACGGTCACTAAATGAACTGTTGTACGTCAAAGACTACCTGTATTCAATTCTCTTGTTGAATGATACTATTCAGTATTGCTCCAAGGATTGCTAGTTGAAACATTTATGAAATTGTCCAAGTCATTTATTTATTTAAAAGATTTATATGGCTACCCATCTTAAGCAACTCTGGGCGGCTCGCAATAGCAGTACTTTTGCCACAATTCTTGTGGTTATAACAGTTGGAAAAGGTGAATCTGGAAAATGTCCTGTAATTCATTGGTGAAAAGAATTCACTTTCCTTATGACTCTGTATCATTTCCTTTTTTGTAAGAGGAATCACTTGCTTGAAATTTTAGTCATGTGAAATGCCCTGCAGAAACAGATTTATTAGAAATGGTGGAACAAAAATTATGGATTAAATTAATTTCAAATATTCAGCTTTGTGTAAAATTCAAGATAACTGAACATTTTGAATTAATTTCATTATTTCGAGAGATTATATGTAGACTTTGAGATAGATGCTATTTTTAATGAGTTGTGCACAGTTATTGAGAAATTCAACAGTATGTGTCAGAGATTAGTTCAGTTCAGACATCACACCAAATTGCAGCTAAAGAATTTTGCTTAATTCAGTCTGTTCTCTGACTTGGGAAGCCATAATTTGTGATCAGTGAGGAAGCCAGAGTCTGAAACTATGATTTATAAACTAGACATTGTTAAATGTGGACTGGCTTGATGCTTGACCCGATAAGGCATAGATACAACCATTCCTCCAGAAATTTCTGCCATGAAAGTTAGCTGTGTGACTTTGGGCCATTCATTCTCTTTCGGTCCAGCCTACCTCACAGGGTTGTTCTTGTGGGGAAAATAGGAGGAGGGAGGTGTGCTGGGTATGTTCGTTGCCTTGAGTTATTTGTAAAAATAATAAAGGTGAGATACAATACAAATACAAATCAATAAAAATAGTCAATGGAAGCATATGAGAATATTTATATCGTGCTCTTCTTTTTTGCTATAAGTGATGGGAATTTAAATCATGATTTCAGTTCTAATGTATACTTTATTATAGGTATTAGCAAGTAATCCTGCTGTTGTGTATCGCATAAAAGTATTTTCCCTTCTGTGGTTCAAAGATTTAACCTTTTTAATTTGATTTTTATATTTAGATATCTGACAAATATGAGGTCCCCTTGGACAAAATAGGAAAAGTCTTCAAGAAATGTAAAAAAGGGTGAGTATACATAAATTAAATTTCTCAATAGGTGTGCAGTTTTTATATTTTTCATCTTGCACACAGCCAGCTTCTCACTTCCCTCAATCTGTGTCTTCTCCATTTTCCTTGAAAAGGAAGGGTGGCAACAGCTTGCATCTACTTTCATAATATCCAGAATTATTTGCTCAGCAAACTGGGAGTTTTGTATTTAAGTTCTCAAAAAGCCAGAAATTTGGTTATAACAAAAAGTATTGTGAGAGGGAATAACTTTTGTAATTGATGAATTTACAACCTCCGGGGGGGCTGCTGGTGAGGAGGGGGCTGCGGGGGTAGGTGGGGCTGGGGCAACGGCATGCGTGCCCACAGAGAGGGCTCCGAGTGCCGCCTCTGGCACTCGTGCCATAGGTTCGCCACCACTGGTTTAAGGTGTCTGGTTTGAGGGTATAACTAATGGATATTTTCGGCCATCACTATGTGTCAAAGTCCATTTAAGAATAAAATTATGGGCTTCCAATTTTTTTGTTATCACCAACTAATATTGTCCTCAAAGTTAACTGTGGTTATACTTTGATTTCCTGATTGATGATTTTACCCATTTCTATTACGGTATTTTTAAGCCCCCAAGTTTCTAATCCTTGGGTATACTCCATACAAATGAAAATATGTTCCTTTCGTTATTGTATCTGAGCAGAGATTTATCTTTAATTCTCTCTCACTCTTTCTTTGGAGTCATGCAAATTATTTTGATATAATTTTCTCTAATCTAGGCAGGGAATGAGAATATGAGTTTAGAAATCCAACTCATTCTAATCTTCTTCCTCAATAACATTTTGTAAGTAATTTTCCTACACTGATTTTAATCTATCTACTGACAGATTCCAATAAAGTAGGGTACAATATAGATATTAATCATTTTAGTTAGTTTACTGCGATTTAATTTTTCAAGTAAGATATTTTTAATAGCTTGGATATTAGGTTACAACAGAAAAAGAGCACATTTGTAGCAAATGAAACCTTTGTCAATTGACATGTGAACATTTTTGTTTTATCTGTTCCAGGAATTAAAAGATTCCCTTAGACCAGGGGTCCCCAACCTTTTTGGGTGGGTGGCCTGGTGGGAAAGGAAGGGGCAAGCACCTTTATGTGTGCATGCGCACACACGCTAATGTGATTGCGTGTGCATGTGCACGAATGGGGCCGTGAGCATGCATGCTCTATAAATGGGGCTGCTAGTGCTGGCACGTGGCTCGGCTGGCACCCGTTGCAAGACTTATTGCTTGACTAACGCCGGTGCAAGGCTCATGGCTCATGCCTCAGCTAGCGCCAGCCAAAGGAGGACTGAGTGCGCACACACACATGCACTGATCAGCCACTCACATGGCCTGGTGGGCAAGAGACCATAGCCCGGTAGTGGGCCACGGCCCATAGGTTGGGGACCTCTGTCTTAGACTATACCAGTGGTTCCCAACCTTTTCTATACCCCGTACCCCTAGAACACTCCTGATATATTCTCACACCCCTTACAAAAGTTTGAAATAACAAATTATGCATATACACTATAATTTTGAAAACCCAAGTTTTCACACCCCCTGGAATATCGTCTCGCACCCCCAGGGGGTGTGAGCACCCCTGCTTGGGAACCTCTGGACTATACAGTATATCACCCATTCTAAAAAATTCTGTTGCTTAAAAAAACTATTAGAATTTCATTCTAAAACTTTCTATCTCTCATTCTAAAAAAATTCCTTTACAGTATACAGTATATCTCTCATTCTAACCAGATTGCCTTTGATATCCTTCAAATCTTTCTTGATAAAGATTCTTCAGATTTTTCTTTACAAAGGAGTTGTAAAAACAAAAGTAGTGAAATGAAGGGAGATATGTGAGGTCACCACACATCTCATTAGCTCGGCTGGCAGGACTAATTAAACTTGCAGATGAGGGGCTGTTGAGGACGGGCGCAGACAGAAACACTTAGCAGTGCAAGCTAGAAGACATTTGGGGAAAGTTACCTTCCATAGCCTCCATCCCACTCCCACTAGAGATTATCCAGAAGCGTGACCAGTGCTGCTTGCACCCCATTCCTAAAACTGAATCCCGTCTGAAAAAGGTCCCAATAATCTGCTTCATTTAAATTCCCTATAACAATTATTTCTTGTTCTAGCTCTCATTGTCCAGTAAGTTGGAACTATTCCAACAGTTCTCCTTGATGCTCCTCTGCTTCTTGTCAGCCTAACACTTGAAATAAATAGTAGCTTAATAAGAAATGTGTTAAATTCCTTTAAAAAGAGACTGGACAAACATTTGTCTGAAATGCTATAGGACAGTGGTGGCGAACCTATGGCACGGGTGCCAGAGACGGCATTCAGAGCCCTCTCTGTGGGCATGCATGCTCTCGCCCTAGTCCTAGGCCTTCAGCTGGGTTTTATAAAACCTTTTCGCTTTAGGCCTCCGCCGTGTGTGCAAAAAAAAAAAAGGTTCAATCAATCAGTCAATTTCAACTTCTTGTGGGAAAAAAAAGATCTTGCAAAGTTGGAATTGATTGATTGAACTTTTTAGTCCCACCCAGTCTGCTGTTACCACCGCAGCTACACCCAGCCAATGGGCCACACCCAGCCAATGGGCCACGCCCACCCAGCACCCGACGATGCATAAGTGGGTTTTGGGTTGCAATTGCACTCGGTCTCTAAAAGGTTTGCCATCACTGCTATAGGGTCTCCTACTTGAACTGGGGGTCGGACTGGACCTCCAAGGTCCCTTCCAACTCTGTTATTTTGTTACCTGTTATCCTCTGAAGCTACTGCTTGGCCATCTTCTCAATTACCTTCTCCTCCCCACCCCAAAATAAGAGAGGTTAGATACTGGGTGAAAGTTGTCCAGCATGGTTGATCCAGCAATGCCTCTTTAAGGGGTGGAAGAACAATGAACTCATTCAAGGCAGAATTCACTGCCACGACAATCCATCCACACAAGACAATTCCCAGCAGCTTTAGTTAGCCAGGAAAGGCGTGGATCTAGAGACCAGGTGGCCGAGACCATCTTTTTTAGGTTCCAGAATTCAACTACAAAAATGATCTAGACATAGATTTGCTAATTTCTAAGTATAATCAGCGCAGAATATAGGTAGACCTCAACTTGTGACCACAACTGAGCCCAACATTTCCATTGCTAAGCAAGACAGTTGTTAGATTTTGCCCCATTTTATGACCTTTCTTGCCACAGTCGTTAAGTTAGTAACATGTTTGTTAAGTGAATCTGGCTTCCTCGTTGACTTTGCTTGTCAGAAAGTTGCAAAAGATAATCACATGACCCCCAAGACACTGTAACCATCGCAAATATGATCCAGTTTCCAAGCATCTGAATTTTGATCACATGACCACAGGGATGCTGTACCAGTTGTGAGAAAAAGGATCATCAGTCATTTTTTTCAGTGCTGCTGTAAATTTGAATGGTCACTAAATAAATGGTTGTAAGTCGAGAACTATGTGTAATAATTTTGTAATATTTTTTTCTAAAAATTGCCATGACGTTTCATAGAAAGTTATACTCGGCTTTTGTATTGGCTGCCAATGCCAGATTTTTTCTCAACTGCAGAGCTGCTGGTACTCTTCATTTTCAAAATCTTCTGCATTAAGCTTGCAAATGTCCTGGAATTCAGTGGAGATAGGATAACCTGCAATTGTATCTAAATGAGCAAGGGATTATTCTTAACATGATTCTGAATGAGCCACATGCAAAGCACTCTACAAAATAAATACAAACTGGTATAAAGCCAGTTCAAGAGTGGATTCTCACTTCAGTCAGTGCCAATATTTAATAGCAAATTATTTATTTAATGGTTATGCAACTTTCCCTTCCTCTCAGTCATGGGGAATGGATGCCACGTGGCCATTTATTAAACCTTTATATTGGGCATCTGTAACCCTTCCTCAAAATAAGAGATCTTTGAGCTTTCAGAACTTTGATTCTGAAAGTTAAGCTTGTTTATAGTTTGCAAATGACCTTTTTATTTACAGTGAACTAAAACAGAATAGGCTGCAAGAGGTAAAAAAAAAAAAAAGGTCGATACCTATAGAAGTTATGACATTTACCTTAACGTCTTAGTGTTTTCAAGGTTTCTGGCTAATAGACTTATAATGCCTTGGACTGATTAAATTTCCTCCGCGGCATGCTTAGAAACTAGTCTATACTGGCATTTTTTTTTCTTGTTAAGTGGAAAGTACAAAGTCTTTGCTTAATATAATATAATTTCCTCACTGAGAAGAATGCGTTACTTTGCTAGGCTAATCAAAATATTCTGCTGATTATGACAGTAGGTCCAAAGATGCTAACTTGTTTTGGTTCTGACAGTTTTTGGTTCAGCTGTGATACGTCCTGTTCTTAATACCCCATTTTTTTTCTTAGTATTTTAGTGAATATGGATGATAATATTGTGAAGCATTATTCCAATGAAGACACCTTCCAGTTACAGATAGAAGAAGCTGCTGGATTTTACAAACTCACTCTTACTGAAATCTGAAACCTAATTTGTTGGGCTCCTTGTGGGATCTTTCAGTGAAGGCTCTAAATACAAAACCTCTTGTTTTTGTCCTCAGGATGTAAATGTGTTTTTAAGGAAGAAGTCATTTTATTCTTCCAAAGAAGAATACCTTTTTTAAAATAAATAAATAAGAATTATCAATTGATAAATCAGGCCTTTTGGCTGCAACACTGCACTTGAAACAGAAGAACAGACATTGATTTTATTTTATTTTAAAAAAATGAAATTTGCATATATAACCAAAGCACGATTAAAATGAACTTGTTATATTATCAACACATTCCCTTATCCATTAAATATGTGTGTAAGTTTCTTTATCAGCTCAGAACCTCCAAACTCTTTGGTGCTCATAGGAGTTTCAGAAAAGTGTAGGACTGGATTGTTGTGATGTTTACAGCTGCCCAGAGCATAAGACTATAATTTTCTGCTACAATTTCTTGTTTCTTGCTTTGTGAAGAACTTTCTTTAACTGTGTGTAGCCCACTGATGAAATATATGTATATATAAGTGCAGTGTATTTTGAAGGGTTGTAAATGTGTACATAGATTATATTATATATAATGTTCAGGATATACAGTGGTATGATTAGATATCTATGTGCGTGCATAACACAAAGCATATGGTGAAGCCAACCTGAAAAGGCTATATGTATATAAATATATCACTAAGAAAAGCAATCTTGGTGCTAAATTAAATTTTTGTTGAGCATATTCAATCTCTTGTAAGGGAAAATAGGTAAAAGGACATTTTTGCATACTTTATTTAATTTCTTTTTATTATGACATGAAACTAGCTCATCTACCCAATGATCATAGTTAAAGAAGCATTAAGCATCAAAACTGGTTATTAGTGACTTTGGGCTTCAATTCTCACTGCAATTTCAAACACTCTTATTTTCTTTGTTCCAAAATGTAGGTACCTACCATTTTAATACATGAAACAGAGATTGTTTTCTCACCATTTTCCATTATAAATTAGAGTCCATTTGCAAAGTTTATGGCACAGATGCTTCCAAAAATAAGCTCTGCAAGCTGCTAGCAAACAATAGTGCTGGTTCATTTAACAGGTTAGGGTCATTATGTAGTTTGTTTTGTGCAGGGATTTCCAAGCTGTGCAAAGCCCAAAATGGCAGTTTAAGAAGATTGTAATTTAGTCAACAAAAAGTTATTACACAAAACATAACTTAAGACAATATGTGAGCCAGACAGCATAATGGGATTCCTAATGGAGTCCTAGTTGCACAGGTATGAAATGAATTCAGTATATGTTTTGAGGCGAAACTGATGTAGCCAATCAGGAGACACACATTATCTACTACAACTAGCCAACAGAATACTTGTTATTTCTTTTTATTTGGGCTACATGTTTATTTTGCAATATTATTGAAAGTATTGATCATGATATCTATGAATATCCTAAGCCAAGATATTTGACACAATGCTTTCTCCATACAACCTGCCTGTACACTATATAATATGTGACCTTACACTTACTCTAGATTCCTTATGGTCAGACTCCTACTTTATTTAATATGGTTAGGTTTGTATATTGCTTTTATTAATCATTTTGAATGTCTTTTATAGGGCTCAAAAATATTTTGTGCAAATATAGACAATAGCAGAGAGAGAAAAACATCCACACGAAGCCCATTTCAAAATGGCACTCAAATGATAAACCTGCATTGTTGGCTGGCTCATGACTTTTCTGTCACAGCCTTCCCCAACCTCCCGACATGTTGGCTAGGATAATGCAACAGGCTAGCACAAAGTTTTGTCTGGAATTTTGAACACTTAGACTCTTTGCTATTTGATTCCTTTATCTATTGTGTGCAGTTCTTATTACCACTATTATTATTATAATTATTATTAGTATTATGTATATTGCATAGCAATAGAATCCTGAGAAATGTTGAACAGATTGTATATGTTGAAGCAAACCCAAAGAGAATCCTTCCTAAAAGAAAAATCTAATAATTTTAATAAACTCTAGTAACTGTAAATAGTCATGCATTTACAGATTAAAGATTAAATAGATCTTGTTGACGAAAACTAGCAAGTTTCTGAATATACTGTCATTAATAATTCAGAATTGGAAGGAATATATTATATCAAGAGAATTTTTGTATCTGTAAACATGCATGACAATTTGTCATTTGTAGAAAATTGAGGTTTTGCTACAGATAAAAATGAGTAAATATAAGATGTTTCTCTATTAAGAATGAATGCACTCATGGTTATATTTATATGTAATGTATGAATTAAACTGTTGATTTATTTTGTGGGACATGGGGCTTTTAACCATAGCCATACTTGTAGAGTTCAATGGAAGTGATTTTGCCCATGTTTGCTTTTATGTGTCTGTGTAATTGAACATTTGCTGTAAGGCAAGAGCAATTAAATTTTATATGTCCATTTGTAATCATTCAGTTAACTTTGACTGGTATTTGTTATACGTTGAGGCGGGTGTTTACTCAAAGCAAGGAAAGGCCACACAATGCCCACAGATATCTAAAACTGAAATCTTGTTTTCCTTCACATCTACTTCACAGCTTTTTTTGAAAATAGAAAGTTCTTCTGGATAATAAAATTATTTAAAAAGCCAAAAAGAGATAAAGAGAGATATTAAATAAGTTTAGTGTAATCCTATTCTATTCCATTTATAAAAAGACCTCTTTACAATATAAGACAAATTATTATTCTTTTGATTAAAATGAGATGGGATGTGGGTGAGTTTCAAATGAAGAAAATCTTTATGTTGGTATACTGCCCAAGTAAAGCATCTTTTGGAATGTTTTCCTCTTGTAAAACAGAATTGGTCCTCATTACACAGCGTGTAATATTTGTAAATTAAACCTCATCTGCATTTCCTATTTATATCCCCTTCCCCACCATTTGCTAATAGTAAGATTACATTTTCTTTTGTTACTATATACTACAGTACATCTAACATATCATTTCATTTAACTTCATTTTTCATAATGAATATTTCCCATTACATTTCTTTTTTTAAAAAAATATTTAAGTAATTTGTAAAGAATAGTCGGTGTGCCCTATTTGGTGATTTTTAAGTATTTCGTATACACTTTCCCTGTGGAAAGGCATATAGAAGACATTTCCACACTGTTAGTATTTCTATTTTCCAATCAGTCTCAAATCTATTTGAAACTGGTTTACATTTTTTGTGCTAATTGCAACTGGGCTGTTGATATTGAAACGCATGCAGATTTGTCAATCCCAGCTCACCCTCTTTCCCTCCCGGTGACCAATAGGAATATGCAAACTATTCCATCCAATCAGTGTCTATACCCCAAGATCTATAAAGAATTCTCTTTAATGGGAAAATGGTCCTCTCCCCAGCACTGCAGGGGAATAGTTGGAGCTGCCTGGAAACTTCATGATTTGAAGGAAAAGTAAGCTCAAACCCAATTCTATTGCAGGTATAACAGATGATCCTGGGGGAACAAAGAAGACTAAATTTGTTCCTGAAAGGTATACAAAGCTGCTATTGTGATTATTGATAGCAGCATACCTGTTGTTGCAGCCACCCTGGCACATGTTAAATAAAGGCTGATGTGAATCTACTGTTTGGGAACTCCCCTGATGTGCATTACAATTTCTCACAATGCCAGTAATATCTCTGTGTTAAGGTCATTAGAGAAAATTAACACACATGTATGTACACACAGAGTTTATCATCTCCAGCTAAAGCTGTAGCCAAGGGCTCAGAAGAGATACACGCTGAAGATGTTACCTAATGAAATGTCTGCAAGAAAACAGTGAAGACTAAAAAGCACCTCAGAGAGGAAATATATTAGCAATTCCAAGTGCTAATTCACGGTCTGCTACACTATAAGCTCCATTGAACTTGGTAGAACCGCGCTCCTTTGAGTAAACATGCATATAATGGCTTAAGACACAGTTTGAGACCAAGTAATGTATCAGGTGACAAAGTGAGCTTCCATTACTTGCTCCAGTTCCTGTCAATCTAGCAGTTTGAAAACATGCAAATGCTAGTAGATAGATACCACTTTGATGGAAAGGTAACAGCATTCCAAGGACATTTGGCATATAGTCATGCCAGCCAAATGGCCGTGGAAACATCTTCAGACAATGCTGGGTCTTCAGCTGTGAGTCGGAGATGAGCATCGTCCCGTAAAAGTCAGACACAGCTAGCAGGGAAAACATTTACCTTTATAGGAAACTAAATAGTGTCTGCTGTCATACTGTCTCTCTCTCACACCAACATAAAAGTCAGGAAGATTTTCTCACCTGTTGCTCTTGATGTGTGTACACATTTCCTCACAATTAAGAGCTAACAAGATCCACCTCAGGGCTCTGTCTCATTATAATTGAACTGCTTGGGCAATTGCCTGAATAAATACCCTTTGCTTTGTTCTGGCTTATAACGTACCACATATGGGGCTGAAGGAACAGATCCCAGTGGGGCAAAATAATCTTCAAAGCTAACTCCTTTCCCTTGTATGAAGATGTGACACAACGGAGGAATTAACAGATTTGTTGAGTAGGCTGAGCTCAAAATCCTGTTTAGCTATTAAGTTCTGATTTGAGATAAGTAAAAAAAAACATGCTTGTCGTCACCTCCTTGCTACCTTCAATATTATATTATAACACAGTCAATTAACTTATCAAGGGTGTCCCGAGGGTACATCAAAAACGTGAAAAACAGACTGAGTTTCTATCACACTGCTGTGGCTATGAGCTTAATTTTTTGATGCTACATGATACTAATTGTGGCTACAGATACTTTCCTTGACTGTACAAGGGTCTGCTTGCTGTAATTATTTAAAAAGAACACCTATATCTTCCTTCCCACACACATTATATATTTAAACAGAAAATGGGCCTGTGGCAAAGCTGTAGGCTTTAACACTGCTTTTATTTCCAAGATTTCCAAGAAAATAAAAATGATGGGCGGGTGCAGCCAGTGCAGGGTTTCTTGCAAAATCAAAAAGGAGACAAAGGTGAGCTGGAGAGGTAGGAAATTTGTAAGGATTTACTGTAGTAGAAGTAGCAGAGAGCAATGACCTCAGTTTACTTTTCTGTTGAATGAGTCTTTTGTGAGTGACCATGCCCACAGCTTCTAAAATATCTAATATCCCTATTGTACTAGAGATGTTTCTACTTCTGTTATAGCAATTCATTGCCCTCTGATTACAGGACAAGTTAAATGAGAATAGAAAAGCACTGATCCTGTAACTGCTCGGTTTAGCATACTGAATCAAGACACTGCAACAGAATAAGATAGTAAGTGAACAGTACTGATTTGACTCTAAAAAGAAAAGAATTAAAATTGGAATGCCTGCACAGCATATTCTTTAATAATGTCCTGTCCCAAGGAAAGGATATTCTGAAATATTTACTGAATAACTCCTTTCAAATATTAACATTTTCAGCTTGTAGATGTTCCTGTGACTTTGTTTCCTACTAGCTGTGGATACACAAAATTCCCCTTCCACAGTTTGCTTAACTTCCTATTAACTGCAGCAGATGAGGGTTTTCTTTGCATTTTTCTTTTTTTCACTTTTATATCAAAGTGACTTAGCTGTTTTGAAAAAGTTCAAAAGGTGAGAGAAAATCAGTTAATAATTTCTTTTTTCCTAACTAAGTTTCCATATCTGGACCACACAAATCTGTATGATGAGTAGAGGGGCAGGAAAGAGAGACAGGAAACCTATTCTATGCTGCTCTTTAGTGGTTATCCAAATTTTTTTTTGCCCAAATCTGGCCCAACAGGTGGCTATTTTTACCCATGATCTTACTATTCATAGCCCAAAAATACATAGTATCTGACCAGGTGAAGTTTATCCGAGGTTTTGGACTTGTTTGTGTGTTTTGCATAGGCACAAAATGGCAGAGGGTTTTTTGACTTTGCAGAAAGTATGCTTTTTTCATGCCTTTGTTAAATTGGTCTTGGTATCTACTTTTGTTTATTAAACTTATATGTCACCTATCTTGCCAAGGCGACTCTGTGCAGCTTACAATTAATCAATAAAAATGCCAATATAAAACATTAAAACAATAAACACATTAAATTAAAATTGACCACGATGGAGAGAAAGGGAGTAAGATGCACACTGGGGATGGAAAGGAGATAGGTCTTCTCTAATCCATTAGCCACCTCTAGAATGACATATCCCCATTGGGGCCCAGGCTAATTTCTTCAGCCCTTTTCAGAAAGCCAAAAGAATGGGATCTCACCTGGGGGGGAGGGGGCAGGAGAACAGGAGCCATGACAGAAAAGGCTCTTCTCCTGGACCTCAAGATTTGATCAAAATAATGAGAACCACCTGCATTAAAGAATATCATGGATTATTTTATGACTGATTGGGTCAGTGAACCAGCTAGACAAATTTTTAAATTAAAAGAGTGGGTGACAAAGGCTTGTTTTTTCCTGTTCAAACTGTGCTTCCCATAAAATAAAAAATAAATAAACGAAGTACATCAAATGATGTCTAAGAAGACACAAGGGGGTAAAATACAGAAAATACGGTATAATACAGTAAATGCTTTTTTAAAAAAAATGAGTGAAGATTTGAAGTAGGCCAGAGCAGGAAACATTTGACAAAGACTGCTGGAACTCTGCTTTATTGTTGTATGGTATAATAACAGAATCTTGAAAGTTTGACAGAGATTTTCTCTCTTTTTCTCTCAATCTTTGCCCCCCTCCCCATGCCCCCTGTCAATAGGCAAGAGAATCAAGGCATAGCAATCGCAAGGGTTTGTTTTTTGTTTCCATCTTCTCCTTTTTTTTCAGGTCTAAACTTGCGCTTACTGCATTACTGCTTTTGCATTGCTTCTTCAAATCTATCTTCATATTCCCCACTCCAGTGTTTTTCAACTTTGGCACCTTTGAGAGCTGTGGATTTCAGCTCCCAGAATTGGACAGTCTGGGAATCTGGCAGGGGAATTCTGGGTTTGAAATTCACAAATCTTGAAGTTGCCGAGACTGAAAAACACTGGTCTATGCCATTATAGCAACTGTTTCAGAACTGAGGAAAAGAAGTGATCCCTCCCAGATATTGGCATCATCTGCTACACAGGATACCAGATGGGTCTTCCTTGCTCTAAGGAATTCAAGTTTTACTGCAATTTGCCTCATCAATCTTCTACTTTGACATCATGCTAACAGTACAAACAATAGCATCTCTTTGCAAGAACATGTTACGATTTGACTTAAAAGCGAATGGTTAAATTTGAGCAGGCAATTTTTTTTCTTTTGATTTAAGCTCAATGTCTTTCACAAATGAAACACACATTGTCAGAAGTAAGCACTGCTGAGTTTCCCAGTTGCTTCCCAAAAATTCTTATAGAATTATAGCTACAGTATGCTCCTTCAGAGACTACCATCACCCGCAATTATTCCTGGGACAGAAACCTTTGTAAAATCACTATAGCAAAGGTCTTTCT